ATTAACTCTCATCAGTCACCCTCACGGCCCGGCGGCCGGGCCCCACGGCCTGCCCCACGGCCTGCCCCACGGCCCCACGGACTCACGACGAAGCCGAGCCGGGTCGCGCCGATCCCCGCACGACTAGCCCGGCGTAGCAGCCCGGCGTAGCCCACCCACCTGCACGTCGACGCCGCGACGGTTTTGGCGATCTCGTGAGGCATGGTGTGACACGAACCAGGCCGTTCGGAAGCAGCCTTTCGGGCCAGCGGATGTCCATACTGCTGTGCAGGAGAACGCTCGGGAAAAAACAGCGCAGGACTGGAATCTGGAGTCTGGCCGGCTGGACCAAAAGGCTGAGCGCAGAGTGAAGACTTGGCAATGGAGATCCCGATCGACGTTGTCGCCCTACGTTGAACCGCCACTCACGTGCGGGCTGCTGGTTCGATTCCCGGACGCGGCCGCTCTTTGTCCTTACAGTGGCTGTGCGGTGCTGTGCGGCCGGCCGGGCAAATTGAATTTTGCCGCCACGATGATGCCACCGCGGCCAGCCATGCCGGCCTCGCCGTGAGGCTTGATGAGAGCCTCGGCCAGGACCACCGGCGTCTAGGGTCGCCCTCCCTCACCCTCCGCCGCGTCGCTCTGTCTCTCTCGCACCCATAAGAACGCCCCGCGAGTGCGAGAGAGACAGCGCGACGACGGCACTGTAATGGCCAGTTTGCATGATCCTCCGGCCTCCGGGTCGGCCGGCCGCACTGCCGGCCCGGCGTAGCCCGGCGGACCCGAAAAAGATTTCACGGCAGAGCGGCGCGGCGCGGCGCGGTGCCTCACCTCGGTCCGGTCCTTGTTCACGCGTGAGCGGCGAGCCGCATTACCGCGATTTACGGCCGCCGGGATTCGAACCCGCGACCATCGGAACGCCGGCCGGCCGGCCACCAGGGCCACACATTAGCACCCTCGCCTCCCCTTCTTGCTCAAGGAGGTCGCGGCCTCATTCATTTAGCGCTTCCGCGATTTGGCCAAAGCCTCGGACTAATATCTTCCCGCGGGGCGGAGGCCGCGCAGGCCGTGGAGGCCGAGGCCGGGAGGGAGGCTCTGCAATCTGACGGTCGTTTGCTTAATTGCGCGAAAGCGCTGCGCGACGCGGCGAGAGCGTCGCCCGGTTTTGTCTGCTCCGACGCCACGGCGACGACGCCGCGCGCCCCGTGGCACCGCGACGACGCCCCCGCCGCGCCCCGCACGCCGGCAGGCTCATTCCGAGAGCCGTCTTCGTCGCTCCGTCTCTCTCGCACCTATACGGGACGCCCCGTGAGTGCGAGAGAGACGGAGCGACGAAAACGACTCTCGGAATCGGTCTGCCGCGACGCTCTGCGCGCGACGGAGACGCCGGCCACGAATTATAGCGGGACATCCTTTAGAAAGGGGTGGCGTGGCGTGGCGTGGCGTGGCGTGGCGTGGCGTGGCGTGGCGTGGCTGGCGCTGTGCAGCCTGACGGCGCCTCAAACAAATAGCTTTTTCCCGCGAGCTGCCGTGACAACATTAACTTTTCGACCGAAATTCGGTTCACGGCATGATGACGTGTTTTCGCGACCGGTCCGCGGCGCCACAGTGCCGCGGCGCAGCAGACCGTCTCTCTCGCACTCCAGGGGCTTGCCGTGAAGGTGCGAGAGAGACAGAGCGAAGTGCCGTCCTCGTCCTCGAGACGAACAGACCACCCTCTCTGTTTGTTTTCTGGCGGTGCGTGGTGCGGTCCGGTCCGCCTCTTGGACCAATTTTTCCGCAATCAATCTGTGATGATAACCCCTTATGCCGACAAAAGCGGTGGCGGCGGCGGCAGCGACGCGACGAACACAAACACACCGCCTCACCAACACACCAGCACACCGCCACACCGCCGCGGGCATGCGAATCGGTCCCGTGTTGTCACTATGCAGGCACCGCATCACACACACACACAACTCCACACCCCAACCCGTCCCACTCCATTCATTAGCCCGCGTGGAACGCCAATGAATAAAGGCGTCGTAATCATACGCGCTGCATACGCTATGCGGGGGGCGCCTTCCTTGCGCCTTGACCTGTCTCGCGCCGCATATCGGTCCGTAGCGCGATCGCCCTTGAGAGAGAGAGAGAGAGAGAGAGAGGGAGAGGGAGAGAGAGAGAGAGAGAGAGAGAGAGAGAGAGAGAGAGAGAGAGAGAGAGAGAGAGAGAGAGAGAGAGAGAGAGAGAGAGAGAGAGAGAGAGAGAGACGGGGAAGCGAGAAGCATGACGCGTACGCAAATCGGACCGCTGGGGACAAGGCACTGTGAAGATCAGGCGGTCACCCTGCTAATTTCAAAATTTCAGCATCATGAAAAAATTAGGAGGAAAAATGGTCGGTAAAATACACACGAGGCTTGGAAAAAGGAAAAGTCCAGAGAAAGGGAAGGGAGGGGGGGGGGGGTGTTTGGAGAGCACAGGCCGTGTGCTGGAGAACAAGGAGCTCTCGCCAGGTGGAGCCCTCTAGCGGCCGGTGACGCAAGCGTCTGAGGGAAGGCTGTTGGCTTGTCGCGGTGCCGGTTCGTCGCGGCGGGGCGGGGCGGGGCGGGGCGGGGCGACCGTGCGACCCCCTTCTTGGCCGTGGGCAGGACGGGGTTGGGTTTGGCTCCCCTCTGCAGCCATGTCTGCCATGTCCGCGACAGCCCAGCGTTAGCGGAAGAAGCGAGCGACGTCGTACTCTGGAAAAATAAAGCAATAAAAAGGATTACACTTTTTTTTGGCGAGGAACGGTGATGCCGCGGCTTCGCGTGCGACCGCCTCCTGTCAGCCTGCCTGCCCGCCTGCCGGTTTGTCCGCCGGCATCGCAGGCCGTATCGTCAGATTCCCCGGCGAGCCGGCAGAGCACCAGTTTGTTGTTGGCACCGCGGGGTTGGTACTTGTGGACTTGGGGTCGCGCTTGTAGCCTTGCCACCCCCGAGCCCCGAGGCCTGCACACTGAGAGTCGTCGCTCTGTCTCTCTCACACCCGTAGGAACGCCCCGTGAGTGCGAGAGAGACAGAGCGACGAAAACGACTCTGCAGAGGCGCGCTCTCTTGAGCTCTAATGCGTACTGCGCGTACTTGGCGGTTGCACCGCGCCGCGTACAGCTAATGGTCAGACAGCAGGCCGATTCGTCGCTCTGTCTCTCTCGCACTCACGGGGCGGTCCGGAGGGGTGCGAGAGAGACAGAGCCCGCTTTTTTTCCCGCCCGCTCCCCCTCCGTCCTCCGCTCCACCAAGAAGTGGAGGGTGAAGTCCTTGAAGGCCGAAGGGTCGGCGGGCTCCCCGTCGGCGACGCCGCGCCGCCGCCAGCCCTGTACCCGTTTGTTCCTCGCCCTGGTGTTTATTTCTGAAGTTCAAAGTGAAGGTGTGCTGACCTATCCCACGGACCGGGTCCGCCTGCCCCGCCGTGCCCCGCCGTGCCCCGCCGCGCCCCGCCGCCGGCCGTCTGAATGGGACTCCCACAAAACCCTTGACCCAACTTTCCGAGCCCCGCCACTGCTCCGCCGGCTCCGCCCATTGTGTGTCAGCGTTTGGACCGGCAGCCCCGAGAAGGCCCCGCCCCGCGCCGCGCCGCCCCGCGCCAGTGAAAGTGGAAGTGAACGGTGGCAGCGCAGCGCGGGGTATTCTCGGCCAGGATGGCGTTTTTGCGGCGGACTGTACCTACCCCTACCGGTGCTAAACGCCGCCGCGGCGCGGTCCCCGCGGTCCCCCTCCCGCAGCACCCGCAGCCACCGGGGACGACGCGGCCGACGCGGCGCGGTCCCCGGCGACGACATGCAACGGCCGAGGGAGGAGGAGCGCACCCCGGGGACCGCCGGCACGGCCGGCCCGGTGCGCTGCGCGGCCATGATTGCAGCGGGGAGGCCTGGTGGTGCTGGTGGTGCCCTCCGCGCTCCCGTCGCCCCGTCTCCCTCGCACTCACGAGGCGTGCCGCAGGGGTGCGAGAGAGACGGGGCGACGAGAGCGCTGGCGCGTCCGAGGGGAGGGTCATAACCTCGTAAACATGTGGCGTTAAAGCGTGTTTAATATTGGCGCCACACGGACTGCCGGCGACTATCGGCCGCCTGGGACTTGGCCGCCCCACCCCGCCCCGCCCCGCCCCGCCCCGCCCCGCCCCGCGCAATCCCGGGTCATCGCTGTCATATCTTATTCCACTAACTCTCCCGCTTCTTCTCCTGGTGGTTGCACGTCGAGGCAAGGCGGCGGCGCACCGATTCGCTGGCCCTCCGCGAGGGTGGGATGGAGTTGTTGTCGTTCGGACACCGTCATGAGCCATATTGAAATTCCGAGCGGTTTGGGGAGATTTATCATATTGGAGAGAGAGAGAGAGAGAGAGAGAGGGAAAAAAAAAGAAAAAAGACGGTCGCGCCTCGGGGATTATGGGTACTGCCCAAATCGATTCGGTTTGTGTGCGCTATGAAATGCTACTATACACTGTAAAACTGTGAATTATTTGTTTCAAATGAAACGAAACCCGACCTCTAAACTACACAAAAAAAACTTTCAAGATTTGTATTCACTTTGAATTTGTTCATGAAAATACAGAAATAACTTCAACAGCTGAATCTACTTTTCCTGTCAGTTTAAATTTCGTTACTTGGCCAATTTCAATTTGGTCAGTTTTCCTCCACTCGTAAAACGAATCCACCGATGCGCCGCGGTGGCAACACACTGTGGAAACACACCGAGGTGTCAAACTGTTCCCCTTTCGTGCCGCCGACTGACTGTGATGCCGCTGTTTGATTGGCCAGATTGCGTGCTTCGCTATCGATGCATCTCCTTTCGTGTTTCCCGCGCTTGCCGCTTGCTGCTTGCGCCCATTGTCAGCACGGTCACAGTGTAGTCACGCAGGCCGGACTAGATTCATTAGTCCGCCAAAACAAAGTTTTGTTGCAAGCCCCTGACGGCCGAAATTAGCTTCTGTCTCTTTTCCTGATTTGAATCTTTTCGAGTGGGGATGAGTATGGTACAGTAGTTTCAATGAAAGTATAACAAGGCAAATACAGACTTCAAACTTTTTTTTTATTATGTTCATGTCGTCTTGATTGAAAATGGTTTGAAAATGGAAACATTGAACAGAGATCGTGCCATAAATAATAAACTTTGTTCAATACAGGCCAACAAATTTTCACATTGACCACATTTACATATATACATATGACTGGGGTTTCTCTCACATAAGCTCCAAACTTTCACAATAAAAGAATTTATAGTCCCACAATGCTAACAATTTTCACTTATGTACATATGTTATATACAATCGAAAGTGTATGAACAGTCTTCAAATAGATTACAGAAAACCTTGCTAAGAGATGGAAATCAATATATATTTATATATTTATATATGTATAAATCTAAAATAAATTCTTATTTACATACCACTTACAGCCCATCAGTTTGAGCACGACAACTCATTGGTGTCGCCCAGGAGGACGAGTTGTACTAATATAAACGAACCAAAACACTCGCCTAGTGGTACTCATTTTGGCGTCACCCTTGCCGTCACAGTCATCACTTGCATGCGTACTCACTATCGGTGGGCTATAACAAGATATGAACCAACTGAACGAATTGACGAAAAACAATCAAAAATTGAAAACAAGTTGGCGGCTTGAAGGCGAGATGAAACACGTATACATGTCGGCCTGCAGGCTCACTGCAGGGGTTCGACCAGTTGGACCGCAGGGGGCGGCCTTGGTCACCCTTCGACCTCCGACTGCCTCCACCGCCGGTACCCCGCCCCGCCCCGCCCCGCCCCGCCCCGGGCAGGCCGACGGCACCCTCAAGAGCACCGCCCCCCGACCGTTGCAGGGAAAAGAATCCCAGCGCTTTGGGAGCACAACCAGTCGCGGCCAGGAAGTCCTCGGACGTCGGCCGAACGCTCTCTGTCTCGTTCGCGCCCATCGCGAAGTCAAATGAGCGGGAACGAGACGGACAAGGGACGCACGGCGGACGCGCCGGGCCGTGGCACGCTCCGGAAGAACGGAAAACTAAGAAAAAGTCAAAACAACGCGTGGGAAATCAAACTGCGGTGTGAACGGGCGGCGAACTCGCGGTCGCGCCACTAAAAACTAAAACACAAAACAGCCTCTGACAAAAGTTTGAGAATCACCGGGAACTTTCATCCATATCAAAAATAGAATCGCAGCCGTATCAGCGCTGTGCCCGTCCTATTTTATGACTGCCCTTAAAATTAAAAATACCACAATTACGATTATCCTAGAGTTCGCCGGGCTGGCCGGGCGGCACACACACTGTGATGGCCCGGCCCAGCCACGCGCTTTCACTAAATTATCACTAAAGCGTCGGCGCGGCCGGGTTCTAGGGACGGCCCTTGGTTCACACCGCGGTTTGGAGGGAATTCGGTCTACGGCGTCGCGGCGAACGCCTTGGAGAACGCCATGGAGAACGCCTTGGAGAACGCCCGGGCCGCGCCGTGCGTGCGTGTCTCCGGGGGAGGCCCTCAAGACGCGCGGCGCGGCGGGGCGTTCCGTGACGAGACGTGACGAGACGTGACGAGACGTGACGAAAAGTGACAAGGCGTGACCGTCGCCCGACGTCGCGCTGCGCAGGTCGTGACGCGAGTGGCGGTCACGCGAATTGAGTACCCAAAGCGCTGGGGCGGGGCGGGGCGGGGCGGGGAGGGCTGGTCTTAGCGCGCTCGGTAGCGGTAAAGGTTAAAACATAACGCGCGAAATTTGGCACAGGAACAACCAACAATGAGATCAACAACTATCGCGGCAAAGATTCTTTTAGTTTAAAAAAAAGACAAAAAAAATGTCGCCCTTTCGGAGCGCGCAAAGATCAGCCCACCGGATACCAGCAGCGGGCGAGAACTACCGAAACTAGGATTTAAGCACGTAACTCAACAGTCTTAGAATATCCCTAACTTAAACAAACTGTCCATCTGAATCTTGATAATATTGCGCCTAGTTCATACAAGGAAATCAACAGAACGAAACAACGGACTGTACCCAAGAGTAATAATAATCACTGGTTGACAACTCATCGCACTCTCACACAAACACGCACGCATCCTCTCTCTCTCACTCTCTCTTTGTGAATTAAAAAAGTGACTCGAACAATGACTGAGTTTTAATAAGAATCATAATACGAATCAATAACGTGTTCTAAAAAAGCAATCTAAAAATTGAATGAACATGAACAAGAAGTACTTGCTTTCAAAACAAAACGATTTTTTTACTTTCTCACTTTAAAAAACAGAATGAAACCATTCGAAAAAGGCAACAAGGACTCACTCACAGTGTAGCCAGCCGCGACTAGACACAGCCTTCCGCGCGCTACGTCAACGTCATCACCAAAAAAGAAGAAAACACAACGAGGACCACCGATAATAATAAAACACTCAAACTTAATGGAACACAACGTCCTAACTTAAACTTAGCACACATCACAGTCTCGGCCTTAACAAATAAGCAAGGGGGGAGGGGTAAACAAGGGGTGGCTCCACAGCGAGTCCGATGGATGGATGGCACTTTTAGCACTTTCAGCACTCGGGCATGCCGTACTGCTTCTCGTACTGGCACGACCCGAGGGCGAGGTCCTACATGTGCGACAAGCCCATGTGCTCCTGCTGCTGCGCGTGCTGGCTGTACTGCTGCTGCATTTGCTGCAGCCTCTGCTGCTCGGGGTCGGGGAGGTGGTACATGGAGATGAACCGGTTGAGGTCGCCGGTGGGGGTGCCGCCGCCCGGCGTAGGGGGTCCTCCGGGCGGGCCGCCGGTGTACTCGCGCTTCACGACCACGGGGCTGGGCCCCGGGGACGGCGACACGGGTTCAGACTTGATGCTGCTGCCGCTGGGGCTATGCGAGGACGACATCTGCGAGCCGGGCTGCTGCATTTGGTAGGGGGAGCCCGCCGGCCCGGGGACCGTGGTGGGCGACGAGTACATGCCGTACGACGAGCCGTTCATGTAGTTGAGGGAGTTGTGCTGCATCTGGCTCATGTCGTACCGCGGGTAGCCGTAGTGCTGCTGGTAGCCGCTGGGGTCGGTGGGCATCATGTAGCCGTTGGGCATGTACCCGTTGGTCAGGCTGGGGTACATGTCCCGACCGCCCTGCTGGCCGCCGGGCACCGTCCGTCCGGGGTCCTGGCCGCCGGGCAGCAGGGGGCCGCCGCCGAGGGGGTACTTGTCCTTCTTGAGGAGCGTCTTCGTCTTGCGCCGCGGCCGGTACTTGTAGTCGGGGTGCTCCTTCATGTGCACGGCGCGCAGCCGCTTGGCCTCGTCGATGAAGGGCCTCTTGTCCGTCTCGGATAGCAGCTTCCACTCGGCACCCAGCCGCTTGGAGATCTCCGAGTTGTGCATCTTGGGGTTGTCCTGCGCCATCTTGCGCCGCTGGCCGCGCGACCACACCATGAAGGCGTTCATGGGCCGCTTGACGCGGTCGATGTTCTGGTTCGCCTTGGAGGTGTTGTTGTTGTTGTTGGTCGGGTGCTGGCCGTGGTGCTGGGTCTGCGGCGGCGCCTGGTGGTGGTGTTGTTGCTGCTGCGGGTGCCCCAGGCCGTGCTGGTGCTGCTGCAGCTGGTGGCCCCCGAGGGGGCTCTGGTGAAGGGGGCTGTGGTGGCCGATGGGGCTCTGCAGGGGGCTCTGGTGGCCCAGGGGGCTGTGGTGGCCCAGCGGGCTGTGCGAGGGCTGGACGTGGTGCTGGTGGCCCTGGTGGCCCATCTGCGCCATGGTGTGCTGGTGCTGGTGCTGCAGTGGCGGCGACAGCGGTGGCGACTGCACAGCGTGGGCCTGCTGGGGCTGCTGCGGCTGCTGCGGCTGCTGGGACGACATGTGCATGTGCCCCAGGTACGAGGACGGGTGGTGGCCATGCACGTGCAGCGCGTGGTGCGGGGGCACCGTGGCGTGCAGGCTGCCTCCCTTGAGGTCCGACTCCATCGTCAACATGTCGTCTGCTCGTGGTGCGTACAGCTTGGCGTACAGCTTGGCGAGCTCTTTCACTTCACACACTCATAACACACTCGTTCACTGTTCACTCTTCACACTGGTCACTGTCACTCGCGGGTTCGCGACGGCGCGTGCATGCGTGCGGCACGGCGGCACGGCGGCGGGGCGCGCTGGCTGGGCGGCACGGGCACGGCGGCACGGCGCAACGGACACGGCGACACGGCAGGGCGAGACCGCGCGGAGCCTCTCGACACACAGTACGCACCTCCACCCTGTACAGAAGGCCTTTCTCGTCTGCCAGCGGCACAGGCCCATGCAGGCAGCGCGCAGCGCGGCAGCGTCCCGGCCAGGCCTCCCGGCGCGTTGCCCGCCTGCCGCCCCCACCTCGCCCCCACCTCGCCCCCACCCCGCCCCACCCCGCCCCACGCCAGCGGCGCGCCCAGCGGGTCGATTGGGTGGCGGGAGCTGCCATGCGGCCCACCGGCCAATGGCAGCGCGCAGCCGCGCGCGGAGGGGCGGTGGGGGGAGCGCGCCGGCGGTGGTGGGGGGGCGGTGGTGGGGGCGGCGCGGCCGTGGAGGGGAGTGGCCTGCGTGGAGCCGCGCGGGCCGCTGCCGCCAGGTGAGGCTGACGCGACGCGGACGCGACGCGCGACGCGAGGGCCACAGCGCGGTCGCCGCACCGCGCGGCGTATGGAGCGCGGGGCAGCGCAGGGCAGCGCAGGGCCCTAGGGGCATCACCCTGCGCGGGTATCACCGCGGCCCCACGCAACAGATGACTCACACGGCGCCCGGTTAATATGCGAGTACCTCCCCGACGATCTCGGCGACCTCCACCCAGTCCGTGCGATCGGCCAACGTCACGAGCGTCCAGCCGCTTCGGCCACCTTCGGGCGGCCTCGGGGCGCCTCGCCTCACGGCCTGCCGTGTGTTCGTGCGGCCCGAATTAGTGCGACGGCGAGGTCGGAGGACGCTCGGCTACCTCCCGCGAGGCTCCCGCGGGCCGCCACTCTCAATCCCGCGCCTTCTGCGGCCAAATGTTGACAACGCCGCCGGGGGGGAGGGGGGGGGGCGCTCGTGACACACGTTGCGTACCGACGCGACGCCCCGCACTGTATTTTGATCGACCACTTGTGGCGTGGCGTCGCGGTGGGGCGGGGCGGGGCGGGGCGGGGCGTGCATACATCGCGCCATGCAAGACGCAACAAGACCGGTCGTCATCAGTAAAGGGACGACGCCCCGCGACGCCCCCTTCAGACCTTCAGTCCTTGAGTCACCTGTTCCGGAAGCTATTCGCAAACACTGAAGAACAACGCCACCGGCCGGCCGGCCCTAGGCCAGCCCGACCCACTGTCGACGTCGCGGCCCGGCTCGGCTCCGGCCGGCCCGGCTGCGCTCGCCGCACCGCGCGCCCCGACTCGTCAACAATCAGACACTTGTTGAATACACCACAAATCCCTTGGTCTGTTTTGTTTGGCCTCCTCCAAGAGCGAGCGAGACAGCGATGACCCCGTCGCATTGTCCGTCTCCGCTGCTATCGCGCTCACACACACACAAACACCTTTAGTCGCGTGCCGGGCTGTGTCGCGGGGCCATTGTGGTGCACCGGGGTCGCATTCAATTAGCCATTTAGCCCGATTTAAGAATAATCGAAGAGGATGCACCGCATTGCAATCTCTTGCATGCACACACACACACACACACACACAAATAATAATAACGGAACCGGTGGATAAGGCCAATGTCCACTGATTTCTGTCAGTTCAGACCCTGGCCTGCGATTTGCTGACTCATTTTTTGCCATCCTCCCCAGGGTTTCAAGATCATTTCATCCTAGCCAAGTTACATTTTCAAAAAAGAAAACGAAAATCATGAGGCCGCACCCCATCGTACTGCACACTCTGTCCGTGGCGTATCTGCGCTGCCTCGCTGCTTGCACGGCCACTTTTCGCGCTACGCTGCTTTCTGATTGGTCGGCCCGGTCCAGGCAGGCCACGGCAGGCTACGGCAGCCCGTCAGGCCGTCCCGTCCGTCAGGGTGGCCCCGGCCCTCACTCTCCGCGCTGCATGACGTTTTGACGTGCGAGTCATCAGCCGGCCGATGAGCAGATGCGAACAGCAGCGCACTGAGCGTCGTCGCTCCGTCTCTCTCGCACTCACGGGGCGTCGCGTGTCGGTGCGAGAGAGACAGAGCGACGAAAACGACTCTCAGTCTGCAGCGGCAGCCAAAGCCTCACCGGGCGGCACGGCGGCGCTGCTGCAGGCAGACTGAGAGTCGTTTTCGTCGCTCTGTCTCTCTCTCACCTCCACACGGCACGCCCCGTGAGTGCGAGAGATACAGAGCGACGACAACGGCTCCCAGTCTGCACAGCCAGCGCAGCGCAGGACCCACACGTCGGCCGCACATCCTGTCGGATCCTCATCCAGGCACTGCAAGGCTCGCGGGGCTGGGGGAGGGGATTTTACGGTGTGCAAGAAGTGCCGACCTAGTGGTGCAACCGGTGCAACCCCCGAAGAAGAAAAATTGGTACTGCAGCTCCGTTTGCTGCTTTGCTGGCTATCCTCACTGCGCCGCTGCACTATACTGTACTGTGACGAAGATTTCCGAAATTGTTTTTCTCTCGCGTTCCATTCTGGTCCCGGCAATATGGACGTCGGCGCCGTCGTCCCCTCGGAAAGAGGCTTATGTGAGTGCGAGTGTGTGTGTGTGTGTGTGTGTGTGTGTGTGTGTGTGTGTGCTAGTAGTGCAAAAGCGCGGGAAAAGGGCACGCGGGGCTGTGGTGGTATCTGTATCCTGTATATTCGGATTCCGAAGAGCGTCGCTCTCTGTCTCTCTCGCACTCCCCATCGAGCGCCCCGCGGGTGCGAGAGAGAGAGAGAGCGTTCGGCATCAGCCCGCTGTATTGCGGCGGCGGAGTAGCCGGAAATTAAAGACCGCGCCCATCACGTCACATGACGCGCGGGCCGCGGAGGGAGAGGAGAGGGAGAGAGAGAGAGGGAGAGGGAGAGAGGAGAGAGAGAGACACACAGCGAGAGATTTGGGAAAGTGATGGCAAAAGTGGAGCGATCGAAAGGAGTACGTACAGCACCGCGGCCGCTACTGTCTGCGCCGTGTGCGTGAGAGAGAGAGAGAGAGAGAGAGAGAGAGAGAGAGAGAGAGAGAGAGAGAGAGAGAATTATTTCTCGTCCGAGACGCCTGTTCAGGAAAGAAGCAGGGGCCGGGCAGGGCGGCAGCAGACAATGGCAACACAGGGCACACTTGTGTTGATTGCGACTGCGATGGGTTTATACCGATTCCGAGCCTTGTGTCTGTGTGACACTGTGTGAGTGTGTGGAGGCCTCCATGGGCCGCCGTGGAGCCAGTCTGTCTGGGCTGGCCAGCGTCACCGGGCGCGCGTTCGAATACCGGCACTGGCGCTTGGCATAATTTGTTTTCCTCAAGGTAAGTATACGTACCCGACGGACGCAACGGGCTGGAAGGTTGAAGTACCCGGTGGAAAAATTTCCCCCTCCCCCTTTCCAAAACGTTAAAAATGCCTACGCGCAGAAAAAGGCTCATCGCAGCACGCAGGACACACCGGCCAGACACAGCGTCGCTGCAACGTTGCATCGTGGTCGTCCTTTTTTTTTCGTTTTTTATACGCGTCTTTAGGCCTCATATGGCCGACGCCGCCACCCGCTCCACCTCCTCCTGGCCGTGGGTGGGGCTGATATCAGCCCATTCATTCCTCAGACACACACACACACACACACACACACACACACACACACACACACACACACACACACACACACACACACACACACACAGAGGAATTCCTTTATTTTTACGTCGAAGCGCCAATAAAGATGGTCACATTTTACTGCGGCGTTACGTACGGAGACGTTCAGGGAGGACACCCCGGGCATCATTCATTGGTGGACCGATTCCAGGTATTCGGGTGTCCCGGATTCCCGATCGCCGACCTTCGGGAACCCGCGCGCCCCACTGACACAACCAACCTCGCTCGATTTCTTGTCCTTTTTATTCTATTTCCCTCCTCTTTTGCCCCTCCCGCTCTTCGGTTCTCACGAGGGACGTTCGTAAAGTATTCGGGCGACAGTGTCCGTCCGGTGCGTGGGCGGAGTGGACACCGTCGCTTATCTCCGGTCGATCTGATCGGGTTCGGGTTCGGCTCCCTGCAGGTTGCAGTCGCCTTGGCGTGAAGGCGGCGAGAGATCTGCTCATTCAAGAGTACGGGGCGGGCGGCAAAACGGACCATCACGTCAAAATTCCCGAAGAAACAGAAACTTCTCTTTTTCTGTTGCTCTTTTTCGCCAAGTATTAGCAGAAGCCTTGTGGTATGCTTGCAGCCGGTGACCTACCTACGAGCGCAGCGAGCCAGGCCGAGCCGAGCCGAGCCGAGCCGAGCCGAGCCGACCCAGGTGCAGAAGATTTGCGCGCAGCCGAGCCGAGCCGAGCCGAGCCGTGTCTACCTGAGCGTGAGCCCCGAGCCCCGGGGGGACCCTGCGGGGACTCGGACGGGGGCGACGGGGGCACGCAGCGCGGCGAGGCGCGGCGAGGCCGAAGTGATGCGAGCGGGACATGTGGGAGGTCAGTGCCTTGGGCCCCACGTGGGCCCCCAGCCCAGCCTGCAGCCCCCGACTCCCCCGACCCGCTGCCCCCCAGCGAGGCTGCGGGGCGCCGAGGCCCGGGGGGACAGGCCGATGGCCGCGAAGGGTGAGAGCACGAGAGCAGGGCTTACCTGGGTCAGAGGCGCCAGCATATGGACCCGGAAACGGGTGGACCGACGCGTCTAGAGTTTCGGCCGCCTCCACCGGTCTTCTGGCCCACTGTCCGACGGAGCGCTGTTCCTCGGAATCGGCCTGCAGCCGGAGTGGCCAGGGCGACGAATCGCAAAGTCCGCTGGCGTCGCCGCGTCGCCGCGCCGCGTCGCCCTGCCGGCCAGTCCGGCCACTGCCCCGCCGGCCGGTTCCAATTTATGAGCAATAATTGCAGTTGGGCCAAAAGCAAACCGGGCGGGGCTGGCGGGGCCGGCAGCGCGTCCCAGGAATGCGCGGGCTGGGGGTGGCATGGCAGTGTGGTGGCGGTGGTGGTGGCCGCTGCGGGCTCCTACTCTAGTAGTCCTCGGCCTCTAGTAGTCCTCGGCCTCGACAGG